CTGGAAGAGAACACGGGCTTGAAAGAACGGGCGGAGGGGATAAAAAAAAAAACAGGAGGGCAGTAAGAAGACACGCGAACGGGCGAAAAGTGAAACACTGATGGAAGGGAAAGGGAACGAGGGAAGTAAGAGCCATTTGCGAAAAGAATATAGGTGGAGAGAGGGGAAGCCCGAAAGAAAGTCGTATTAGAGCAGCGGAATATAAGTGCCTCGGTCGAGAAATTCGGAAATGGAAGGCAAGAATATCAGTGACAAGGACGGAGGAAGAGAGAGGAGGGCCGAGAGACATCCGCGGCATCAAAGAAATATTTTAAAGAGAAGTTTCCCCGCAGGATTTTTTCTTCTTCTTCAAACGGAGGCTGTGAACAGGGTGACGACATTTTACTGGGATAGCGCCGAGAAAAAAAAAACTCTCAGGCTCTCGTCACCGATATCAGTTTTGTGTTTGTGTCAACTTATATTTTGTGAAAACATTGTCAATTTTGTTATGTGTATACAGCTCAGTTAGGCTTGTTTCTACTGGGATATTCTGTATTTGTTGAATCAGTGATAAGAATTCTATAAAGGATATCATAAAATGTTATAAAATGCATTGTCTCCTAACACCTCTAAGCCATGTTCTTACGTTCATTCATATTCTTTCTAACACTATAGAGTGAGATCCACTTATTGGTGCAATACTCTCAAGCCCTTATACACGAATCTGATATAAAGAAATAAAAGTAATGATAATTTGATCACCACAGAAATCGAAGACGAACGTGGTAGTGCGTGTGTTGTATATCATTTTGTCTAAGCGTTCAGTTCTGGACGTAAAATAATATCACTTTTGTTATCTCATACCTTCCACACAGCCGTTAGGAGGTACCGTTTGATATAAGCAACGATAAGGCCCTATTATGTGCACCAGACTGTAAAGTTCTGCCTACATGGGGAAGGCGTTCCCACGCTCACTTTGTAAGTGATATTTCCCGTCCTCGCAAATTTGATTCACGATGCTGCCGCGCATTTGTTCGTGCGGCCTCGTGTGTTTTAAACCTACGCACCGCCACTGATCTCTCCTTTGTTGGCTGGAGAGCTCGGAGAGAGAGAATTCAAAGCTACACATTTTAATTTTTTCTTCTTTTTTTTTCTTTCTTCTTTTCTTTTCTTCTCTCTTTCTCTTTCTTTTTTGTTTTGTTTTATTTTGTTTCCAAGGTCTCACGAGGGGTAGCTGTGGAAGTGTATTATTTCATCTATACTGCAGTGTCATTGCAGACATGTTTCTTCTAATGAATAACTGCTCGTCGTATAGCAATAACTGCATGAATGTTATCTGATATCTTGAAAATTCTAAGAGAAAACTGTACACTCAGTTATATGATACCTAATACTTAGCAATATAAACAGAAATTGTGCAGTGGACATTGATGGCATTTACAAAATATTCACTAACTGACTGATTTTTCAAATCATTCTGGTGATGGCAATGGGCATAAAATGTGTACTTTCCCCTAACCAAACCAACCCGACCACGATGACGATAGAAGCTGATAAGCATCATCTTAAATTCACTGCCGGGAGTCCTTGGCTTCTTCTGTCTGGTCTATGAACTTTACTCTTACTATTTTGGACCATTTTATTGATATTTTTTACCAACAGGTGGTTGTCACCTTCGCTACAAATAATGCATTGTGACCTACGCTGAGTGGATGGTCCTGACTCAGCATAGGTCTTTGTTGCCTCGAGATAAAGCTCCTTGGAAGCAGATATGATCTCGCGTTTCGCAAGAAACTCAATCTCCGTGTAATAACTGGGAGTATGCCCGCTGTAGAGAGAAAACGTGGAAGTTTCAAAGAGATCAGATGGAATAGACGTCTGTCCATACCTCTATCCATGCCCCTATCCGTACCCACTTTCCTCAGAGGCGTGGGAGGATTCGATTAGGATAAGGATGAGCGAGATATGCGAAGCTAAACCAATAATCAATCCGATTAGCAGTGTCAATTCTCATCTAAGGCCGATATTCCTTTACATTCAACGGGCTTTTTACTTCTATGAATAATAAGAACCTAATACCTCTTATGCTATGATCTACTTCCTTGGGAAAGAACAAGTGAACAGGGTTAGAAGCTCTCCTTTACAACCTGTAATAATGGATGTCTACATTTCTTCGAATAATGAGTCAGAAGAACGCTCAATTATGCTGGACTTGAATTCTGATTTACTCTTTAAAGGAGAATCAGATTTTTTCGTAGATTCAGTAAAAATGTGCTTCGTTTGGTCTAGCAATGAGCTCAGACTGTATATCCAGACACCCTAAGATTTCTTAATGCTCAGCATGAAATTTCACTGCGTTTTTTTTTACTATAAATGGTTAACAAAAACATCAAGGACCGCTGCTCTGAAGCACTTCCGGCCGCCGCGTACAGTTCCTAAATAACAGGTTGTTAGTCCCTCTCTCAATGCTCTGAGTTTACTTTGCTTGGCTTATAAACGTCGACCCTGTGAGTGCAGTCCG